GGAGACGCCTTCATCGTCGCCGGCGCGATCAGCATCGGCGCCGTCACTGGCGGCTCGTCGTCGTTGTCAGCGTCGTCACCTGCGTCGCTGCAAGCATCGTCGCGTCTACCGATGTCGACGTTGCCATGATGCCGCGCCCGCCCAAGTCGCCGACTCGCACTGAAGTGCCCGTTGGGATGTGCCGAGCGGCCAGCGCCACCGCGGCTGCGTCGGCGGCGCCAAACGAGCTGGCCGCATCGCGCGCGAGCATGCGCTGGCTAGCGCGGCCGCAGAGACGCACCAGCCAACACCAAGCACTCAGCGCAATCGCTCCAGCATGGGTTTCGCAAACGAAGTTGCGGGTGGGTGGGTGGGATGTTTGCGCGAGCAGTGGAGTGGAAAGTCCAAGTTGAGCATTGGTGGATTGTCTTTTCTAAAAAGAGAAAATTCGTTCTACCGCCCTCCCCAGCCCCAGACTTAACGATCCCCTTTTTCGTATTTCAATTTACGTACGATTCTGCCTCATCGCCCATCTTAAATATGAAATCGCACTATCCAAGGGGGGGGCGGAATCGCCCCCCGCCCCGCCATTTGTTGCAATATGTATATATATATACATATATACATCGTACATCTATATATATATATATATATACATATATGTACATATACACATATGTATATATATATATATATATGTACGTATAGTTGTATGTATATGTTCACATCTATGTATGTATATGTACATACCGTTTGTCACAAAGCATACGTTGCCCAGAATTCCGTGCAACACATGGGACGAAGTAATCACGCGCGCGTTGTCGCACGCATGCCGGAATCCTTCAAAAACCGTTGGTCCGGAAGGGTTCCAAATCGAGTTTTCCAAACCACACATAATCACGCAGGGTTTCGTGCGCGCGCTCTTGCGATTTTTGATGAATAGAAAACATGTGTTGTTCCACACGTTCATCACACGCTACGATAACAGGCCTGGCGCGCGCGCGTGCCGAAATTGTTCGAACTTTCTCTGCGCGCGTGCCATCGCGAGGATCCCTTGCACAAAACGAGACGAAGTGCACGCGCGCTCGTCGTCGCGCGCGCATGCCGAAGTCTACCGCAAACTTTCGGCTCCGGAAGATTTTCGAAATCGATTGTCCCAAACATGCAAAAACAACATGGCTTCGCAACACGGGTTGTCAAAAAAAACGTGCGCGCGAGCACTTGCGAATTCTTCAGAAGACCATGCGTTGTTCAACATGTTGATCAGATGCTACCAAGCGGGCGGGTTTCGCTCGCGCGCAGGTCGGAATCGTTCGAACGCCATTGCGCGCGCTGGGGTGGCACGGCCGTGTCAAATATTACCATGCGAGCCATTCTCGCGCGTCTGCCTCGCGCGCATTTCGAAGTCTTCCGAACACCTTCATCACCGACGCGAAGACGCCGTCATCGTCGTCGGCGTGATCAGCCTGTCTTTCCTCGTCGTCGCCGTCGTCGTCCTCTTTGGCGTCGTCGTCGTTTCCGTCGTCGTTGTCGCCGTGGTCGTCCTTCCTCCTCCCTCGTCGTCGTCATCCGTCGTCGGCGTGTCGTCGTCGTCCTTCCTATTTCGTTTCCGTCGTCGGCGTCGTCGCCGTCGCCGTCGTCGTCGGAGTCGTCGTTGGCGTCGGCGTCATCGTCGTCGTCGTCGTCGGCGTCGGCGTCGTCGTCGTCGGCGTCGTCGTCGTCGTCGTTGTCGTCGTCGTCGTCGTCGTCGAAGTCGTCGGAGTCGTCGTCGGCGTCGTCGTCGTCGTCGTCGGCGTCGTCGTCGCTGTCGTCGTCGGCCGTCGGTGTCGCTTCTGACTGCGATTTGTTGCGTACCGTCACGGTCTTAAGAGGTATTGCGACCAAGCTACGGGTGGGAGGGTGCGATGTTTGCACGAGCAGTGGAGAGGACAGCATCAAGACAGTCAATGTAGATTCTAAACGAAGAATCGGCTCTAACCCCTTCTGGAGTTAACGGTATCCCCTGGGGTATTGCGATTTCAAGTTGATTCGCCACACTCGCCCATCCCACCTGTGAATTCATACTATCCCAACCCGGTCGGTATCACTCCACCCCACCATCGTTTGCAACAAAAAATGTTGCGCGAATTCTTGTTTATCGAAAATCAGAAGTTTCCAAAAATCATTTGCAAGAAAAAACGCGACGAAGTGCGCACGCGCGCGTCGTCGCGCGCGTATGCCGAAATCCTTCAAAAACTGTCGATTTCGAACGGATTTCAAAATCGAGTTTCCAAAAAACAACCATACAAACACACAGGGTTTCGCAAGCAACGCTGATTTGCTAAAAAACTTTCGCTCGCGCTCTTGCCAAACCTTACGGAAGCCTTTTTTCCAAGATTTCAAACAATACTACCAAAAGGGCTTCGCGCGCGCATGTCGAGATCTTTCGAACGCCCTTGCGCGTGTGCCGTCGCGAAAACCATTTGCAAAAAAATGATACGAAGTGCGCGCGCGCGTCGTCGCGCGCGCCATGCCGGAATCCTTCAAAAACCATCGGTTTCGGAAGGATTTCAACATGGAGTGCCCAGAACAACATTCAAACACACAGGTTTTCGCAACACGGATTTTCAACAAAACCGTGCGCGCGCGCTCTTGCGTCGTCGTCGTCGCCGTCCTCCCTCCTCCCTGGTCGTCGTCGTCGCCGTCGTCGTTTTCTGTCGTTCCTCGTCGTCGTCGTCTTGGCGTCGGCGTCGTTTCCGTCGTCGTTGTCACCGTGGTCGTCATTCCTGCCTCGTCGTCTTCGTCGGCGTTTCGTCTTTGTCCCTCATATTTGTCGGCGTCGGTCGTTGTCGTCGTCGGCGTCGCCGTCCTCCCTCCTTCTTCGTCGTTCGCGTCGTCGCCGTCCACCCTCCTCCCTCGTCGTTGTCGTTGCCGCCGTCGGCGTCGGCGTCGTCGTCGTCGTCGGTGTCGTCGTCGTCGTCGTCGTTGTCCTTGTCATCGTCGTCGACGTTGTCGTCGTCGTCTTCCCTCCTCCCTCGTCGTTGTCGTCATCGCCGTCGCCGTCCTCCCTCCTCCCTCGTCGTCGTCGTCGTTGGCGACGTCGTCGTCGTCGTCGTCGGCGTCCTCTGTCTTTCCTCGCCGTCGTCGTCTCGGTGTCGACGTCGTTTCCGTCGTCGTTGGCGCCGTGGTCGTCCTTCCTCCTTCGTTGTCTTCGTCGGCGTTTCGTCGTTGTCGCTCCTATTTCGTCGCCGTCGTCGTCGTCGTCGTCGGCGTCGTCGTCGTCCTCCCTCCTCCCTCGTCGTTGTCGTCGTCGCCGCCGTCCTCCCTCCTCCCTCCTCCCTCGTCGTCGTCGTCTTCGTTGGTGACGTCGTCGTCGTCGTCGTCGTCGTCGTCCGTCGTTGTCGGCGTTGGCGAAGTCGTCGTCGGCGGCGTCGTCGTCGTCGTTGTCGGCGTCGGCGTCGTCGTTGTCGGCGTCGGCGTCGTCGTCGTTGTCGTCGTCGTCGAAGTCGTTGGGGACGTCGTCGGTGTCGTCGCAGTCGTTGTGGGCGGCGTCGTCGTCGTCGTTGTCGCTGTCGTCGTCGGCGTCGGTGTCGTTGCCAAGTGCCATGTGGTACCCACCGTCACGGTCTTAAGGTTCTTGCGACAAAGTTGCGGGTTGGAGGGTGGGATGTTTGCACGCGCAGTGGAGAGGACAGTTTCAATTTGAGCAAGTGATTGATTGCACCTCATAGATTGCACCCCATACATTGCACCACGTCGATGGCACCGCACACACACATATATATATATATATCTATATATATACATATATAATATATATTACGCACCACATAGATTGCACAACATAGATTGCACAACATTGTCTGGAGCACGTAGATTGTTCAGCGTGCAGTGCCGAACGTATAACACCAGGGGCACGCTGTTGGGGGTGCCCCAGCGTGTTACGATCTTGCAGTTCAACGACTCGAGTGTCATTGAGCTCAGTGACGGTTTGTTGGTCTTGCCATCGACGGCTGTGTGTTGTCGGTTGCTCTGGCCAGGATTTGCGTCGCCACTGGGCTGGCGCCTGCTCCGCCATAGGGTCTCGTGTCCTCGTGCTCCTCAGTGCTGGGTGAGCTTGCCCGTTGTTGCCGAGCCGGCTCGCAGCTTCGCCAGCGTGCCGGCTCGCTGCCAGTACACTTCGTGCGGCCAGCGCTGCCGCGGGGCCGCGCGCTCCCAGCGTGTCGGCTCGCGGGCATCGCGTGCATCGGTGCCAGGGTTGTCGGCAGGGAGCTGTCTCCGAGCGTGCCAGCTCGCTCACGGCGCACACCGCGTGGCCAGCCATGCTACCAAGGACCTTGCCAAGAAGCGCACTTCGGACGTGCCCGCTCACACTTGTCACTTGATGGCCATCGCGCTGCCAGCGTCTATATCAGGAAGGTCCACCCGATTGTTCCCGCGGGGTTCCAGCTCGCGCTGCGTCGCCGACAAAGGCTGGCCAGGGGGTTGGCCAGGGTCATTCTTCTATAGGTCGATCTTTCTATGAACTGTTCGGCTGAAGCAGCTCCACGGCGTCCCTGAGATTGGCCATAGAGCGACCACAAAAGCCTCAGGATTCGCTAAGATGCCGTCGACAACCTGGGACTGTGGATTACTATGGCTCTATCCATTTTCCCGCAAGTGCCTTGGAGGCCAAGCTAGTTACAACTTGAGTGTGCGCCATGGTTCTAGTTCACACAAGATGTGCTATTTTCAAGGTCCCCCTGTGCTTTTCTCCTTATTCATGTATACCGCTGCAGCCCCCTCTTCCTTCCCATGACTCTCATGCTGCCTTCCGTGGACTAAGCCTCGACTCATTTCCGAGGCCTCTGAGGAAGGGCTCGAATAGCCCCCAAGGGCCGTGGAGTCTTGGTTTCAGGCCGATCGCTCATTTCATCTCACATACCGTGCCGCCTCCCTGCACACCTTCCCCGTAGCCTTTCGAGTCCGTGCGCCGGCTCTTCTTTCGGAGTTTATAGGGTATCAGGCCTCGCCCGGTGGCGGTGCTCTCAAGTACGCGCGCGATGCCTCCGAAGCCCCAGCCTCGGCGGGTGATCATCGATACAGACCCCGGGGTGGACGACGCCCTGGCGATCTTGTTCGCCCTCGGCAGCTCACCAGCGCTGCAGGTGGAGGGCCTCACCATCGCCGCGGGCAACATCAAGAACATCCGCGAGCTCGGCGCTAATGCCAAGCTGCTGCTGAGGCTCGCCGGCGCCGAGGGCATCCCAGTGAGCCTTGGCCGCCCCGCGGAGGAGGAGGCAGGTGTGGGCCCCTGCGAGACTCGATGAAGAAAAAACGGCATAACCATAAACTTGTGGCGCTCCGCGCGGATTTCTTGGATCCGCGCTGGGCCCCCCACCCTGCGGCGCCTCCGGCGCCGCCCCTGGCGCGCTCCGCGCACCAAGGAGGGGGGTCCAGCGCAGATCCAAGAAATCCTCGCGGAGCGCCAACAGTTTATGTTTATGCAATTTCTTTCTTCTTCTAGAGACGGGCGCGGAAGCGACGGAGGCCCTGCGCTTGCAGGAGCCCCGCTGCCACGGTCTGGACGGCCTCGGCGGCGTCAGCGCTCGCTACGGGAGGTGCGAGGCTGACTTCACCGGGTTCCACGACTCCTCGGCCAGCGAGTTCATCTACGAGACGTGCTCGAGATCTCCCGGCGAGGTCAGCGTGATATGTATCGGCCCGCTGCGCAACCTGGCCGCCGCGCTCACGCTGCACCCAGATCTGCGTCACAAGTTGGGGGAGGTTCTCATCATGGGGGGTGCCCTGGGCCTGAAGCGCGGCAACCGCACACCTGCGGCAGAGGCCAACTTCGCCGAGGATCCCAAGGCCGCGCAGACGGTGCTCACGGCCGGCATCGAGCGCGTCGTGCTGGCGGGGCTCGACGTGACGCACCAGACCGACGTGCACGTCCTGCGGGAGGCCTGCCGCTCGCTGGGGTCGCCGCTGGCGGGCTTCGTGTGGGACGTCTGCGAGCACTACATCCGAACGTACCAGGACGACTTCGGGGAATCCCATGGGCCTGCCCACGACCTCGTGCCCGTCATGTACCTGCTCTGCCCAGACCTGTTCGCCTCGACGCGGGTGCGGGTCGACGTCGAGACCGAGGGGCGGCTCACGAGCGGCATGTCCATAGCGGACTGGCAGGGCAGGTGCGGCCTCCCTGCCAACTGCGAGGTCCTCCGGGAGGTCACCAAGAGGGAGGCCTTCGCAGTCGCCTTTGCGGCCGCCGTGCACCGACTGCCCCTCGCGGCAGCGCTGGATGCAGGCGCGCCAGTTGCGAAGCGGGCGCGGCCTTGAGTCGGGGCCAGACGGCGCGGGCCGTGCGATGCGAGCTCATGCGGTGCAGTGCGGAGCAAGACGACAACGAGCAGGACTAGGCTGGCACGCAGGATGAGGAGGAAGAGGAGGAGTGGGAGGAGGACGAGGACGAGGAGGAGGAGGAGGAGGAGGAGGAGGCGGATAAGGGGGAGGAAGGAGGAGGAGGAGGAGGAGGAGGACAAGGAGGAGGAGAGAGCAGGAGGAGCAGGAGGAGGGAGGAGCAGGAGGAGGGGAGAGGAGAGGAGGAGGAGGAGGAGGAGGAGGAGGAGGAGGAGGGGGATGGGGGAGGGGAGGGGAGGGGAGGGGGAGGGCAGGAGGAGGAGGAGGAGGAGGAGGAGTGGGAGGAGAGGAGGAGGAGGAGGAGGAGGAGGAGGAGGAGGAGGAGGAGGAGCAGGAATCCGGCTTGCACTGCGGTTGGTGTTCTCATTTGTTTGATTCCACGCACGCGACCTTATCGTGCACATTCTCACTCGCTATTGCCCCCTCGTCCCATCACAGATCCATGCTGCCTCCCCTTCCATACCTGATGTGTCACATGGCAGTGGGAAACGCATTGGGAAGGCATAAGCGGGCAAAGAGGGGAACGATGTCGGATACTATGCGGGCATGCAAAATTGGTCCCTCTCTCTCTCCTGCCTCCTCCCATCTCCTGCGTCTTCTTGACTGCCCACCTTCCCTCATTGCCTCCTTCCCCTTCCCCTCACCTCCGCAGGCGTGTGTACTGACATGTCTACCAACATGGGTGACTACGACTTCCATGGGTCCGTCAGCAACGACGATAGCACGAGGACAGCCCTGCCGATGCCGTAGCGGAAAGACCTTGATGTAAGTTATTGATTATTGGGGTGGTTTGAGCTCATCCAGCGCATGCACATACGTGCGCAGACATCTCGTCGTGCGTGGTTGTCGTACCTTCCTTCGGGCCTCGTTGCTATCTGAGGGCGCCTGCAATTCTTCAGCTAAGGCTATGCCCTCCCTCGGCCTTGATGAAGCGCCAGCTGGCAACGCTGTTGCTGCCGCCGTCGGCACCGTTGTTGCCGTTGCTGAGGTCGTCGCCACTGCTGCTGCTGCAGGTGGGGCCGACGTCCGAAGTAGTTTCTTCATCCTCGTGATATTCCTCCTCCTCCTCCTCCTCCTCCTCCTCCTCCTCCTCTTTCTCCTCCTCCTCCTCCTCCTCCTCCTCCTCCTCCTCCCCTTTGCGCATGGCCTATCCTCAGGGGCTCGAGCAAGGATCGCCCGCAAGCCCTCACATCTCATGGGCCAGTGTCCGGCGCGTCTCGCCTCTCGTGCAGGCGCCAGAGGGGGGGGCGGGGGCAGCGGCGGCAGTGGTGTGCCATCTCCTCCTGGTGTGTGCGTGTGCGTGTGTGCGTGTGTGTGCGTGTGTGCGTGTGTGCGTGCGAATGTGTGTGTGTGCGAATATATATATATATATATATATATATATATATATATATATATTTATGTGTGTGTGTGTGTGCGTGTGCGTGCGTGTGTGTGTGTGT